CCTACTCGGATCCAAGCATCAAGATTAATGGACATAATATAAATGCAGTGGACAGATTCACATATCTTGGCAGCACACTCTCCAGAAACAGAAAGATCGATAATGAAATAGACCTGCGTATCGCCAAGGCCAGTGCATGCTATGGCAGACTGTCTAAAAATTTGTGGAAAGACGAGGTATCACCACAAATACAAAGCTAGGGTATCGAGCTGTCATACTTCCTACATTGCTCTATGCCTCAGAAACGTGGACAGTGTACAGAAAGCATGCAAAAAAACTGAACCACTTCTACATGACCTGTCTCAGAAAAATACTGAATGTCAAATGGCAAGAAAAAAATACTAGATACTGAAGTCCTTAAAAGAGCGGGTCTGCAAAGCATCCACAAAATCCTGATACAGTCACAACTGCGATGGGCAGGACACGTCTGCAGAATGGAAGACCGCAGCATCCCTAAACGACTCCTGTATGGCCAACAAAGGGAAGGAAAGCGCCCACAAGGCAGACAAAGAAAACGCTTTAGGGACACCCTCAAAGCTTCTCTGAAAGAGTTCAGCATAGACCCAGCCACCTGGAAGACAGAAGCACATGACAGAGCATCATGACGTCGCCCTGTCAAAACGGGCGCACAAATTGCTGAGTTAGAACAGCGCTGGCAGAAGACAAGGGCCAGAGAAGAAAAGCAAGGCCAATGACACTAGCTCCAGCCGAACATTCCGGGCTCACATAGGTCTCACCAGCCACATGAGAAGGCACAAAACCCCAGTCCAAAGTCCTCAAAGCTCTGGATGACAAAAGTGGTCATCATCGAACCACGATGGTCGAACTATATATATATTTCTTCCACACCCAAGTTTGAAGTTGAAGCTTTAAATGATTATTAGTTGTATCAATCAAACCCGAATCAATAAAAAAAAAAAATTAGTTTTTTATTTATTGGTAATTTAATTATTTTCTTAAACATGGAAAAAGGGAAATAACTTCTATTTAATGAGAGTTTTGCCTGCACATGTGGAGTTTTCCCATTCATATGACATGTACACTTTTTCTTTCACTTCAATGTCTCCGATTAAGGTGAAATTTCACATTATTATTCATAGTCGATGACAATGAATGAACCAATAAAAAATTAAGCAATTAGTTAATTAATAAGTGGTAATTAATTTTCAATAGGTAGACATCATACATTTCAACAGTTTTAAGATATATGGCAGTGATTCTTTCCCTTAGTTAAGTTTCTCAATGTTTAAAGATATTTGTCTACAACCGATTGTTGAAAAGTTTGTACACTTTCTCCTACACCCAATCTCGAATCAAGTTGAAATTTCGCACAATTATTTCTTGTAACTGACAAAACAGGAATCAATTTAAAAAAAAAACAGTAAGTTAATTAACTATTGGTAATTAATTATTTATTATTATTTTGGTATCGAACAAGGGAAAGAAATCATACTTGACAGATGTGGTGGTATAAGTTGAATTAGTCTCCTTTAGTTGGCTTGTGCCCTGAGTGAACAAGTTGTTAATTTTTTTAAATTTTTTTAATTTTTGCATTTCTGCAAAAAGCGATCACGGAAACATTTGAACAGATATGCCCTTTCTTATTGCAGATTATTATTGTCAGTCTAGATCTATTACAAATTTAATCACAAGACTGATCCAAACGAATTGCTAAATTACCCTTATTAAAAGCTTGTTAAAAATATCATGACATCTTTTTCTTGTCAAATAGTTTGTTTGTTTTTCATTTGGGATCCCAATCTCAAGATTTCTGAATAATGTTAACCACTAATAACAAATTATAGATTCATTGATAACCCTTCATTACTACCTGGGTGGTTTGTATATTTGTCTACAGTTTGACAGCTAAGGGAGTATTGCTAGAACATTTTTATTGGTGATCTGAAGCTGAACAAACTTGATGGAGAGCCCCATGCAAACGTAAACAATCCATCACTGTAGAGGTCAAACTGTAGAGGTCAAGCTGTAGAGGTCAAACTGCATAGGTCAAACTGTAGAGGTCAAACTGTAGAGGTCAAACTGTAGAGGTCAAACTGTAGAGGTCAAACTGCATAGGTCAAACTGTAGAGGTCAAACTGTAGAGGTCAAACTTCAGCACTCTCTTGGCTATTCCCTTTATTCCCCTTAGAAACTCCTCCCTTCTTATTTAGTGGGTGTACTTGTTTATGATGTAACCACGAGGGAAGTAAAGTGGATGCCATGGTAGTGCAAACTGGGCAGTTTCTGATAAAACCACAAGGTGGTCTTGCGTTATTCAAGTGATATTTGGTAGAGACAGCCTAAACGTGATTTTGTAGTAGGTTAAAATGTCTTTTAAATATGAATGTAGGTATAGTTATAAATAAAAGCTGTATTCAAGTATGTTTCAAAGAAGGTGTTTTTTAAAATTTATTTCACTAAGAATTTGATAGTTGTAGTGTTTGTCAAAGCTACAAACCAACGTACAAGCAACAACGTCCTTGGAAAATGACCTTAAGATCACAACTGTCATTCTTCAGTAAATAATAGTCAACAAACTGTCTCGACAATTTATTGCTAAACAACGAACTCTCTCGACAATTCCCTGCATAACAACGAACTCTCTCGACAATTCCCTGCTAAACAACGAGCTCTCTCGACAATACCCTGCTTAACAACGAACTCTCTCGACAATTCCCTGCTAAACAACGAACTCTCTCGACAATTCCCTGCTAAACAACGAACTCTCTCGACGATTCCCTGCTAAACAACAAACTCTCTTGACAATTTTTTGCTAAACAACGAACTCTTTCGACATTTCCATGCTAAACAACGAACGCTCTTGACTATTCCCTGCTAAATAACGAACTCTTTTGACAATTCCCTGCTAAACAACGAACTCTTTCGACAATTCCCTTCTAAACAACCAACTCTCTCGACAATATAAACTTTGATTTCTTGAAAAAGTACTTTTAATGTTTTTCTTGTTTCTATTGTAACGCTCTCCCACAAAGAATTTCCGCCCGTAACCACTGCTATCATTTACCTCCACCAAAAAAAAATAGTCTTACGTACATTTCATTATATCAGTGGTTCCCAAACTTTTTTGTCTGGTAGACCCCTTGCCATGTTTTCTGGATTACGGTAGACCCCATACTTAACTTGTATTGGATTTGTGCAAATTCATCAAAAAATTTTTAAAGCAAATTTCTAACTGTAGTGAGTTCAAGAGTGAAAAACTAATTTAAAGCAACACATGGGGTTATAGAGATCTATTTTCTATGGATAAAATTCAAATTTAAACTAGTTAAAATAACAATTTATATTTTTACTGAAATCACCAAACACACTGGAAATGTTTTTTTTTTTTTTTTTTGCAAATCTATTATCCGTTGCTACGGATAAATGTTTCATATAGGATTTAGCTGTTCTACGAAGTGGTCCTTCACACATTAAATATTATTCAATCAATTAATTAATCTGCCTTATTGTAAAAGTTTTCGCAAAAAGCAGTTTCTCGTGTATTTCTTGATGTTTCACGTGTATCTCAAATATTGTTGCTCAGAACTGTTTTCATTAACAGGAGAAAGGGTAAAGGTGGGTACCTAGTGAGCACCTAAACCAGTCGGCTTTGGGCAGGAAGGGCTCATTAGACTTGGCTTGCAGCCTGCCTAACAGAAAGAAAACTGAATTCAAACTGTGCTGCCTTGCAGCTATATCCGATCATTGGAAAGGTTTCGTGGGTCCACCATGTTAAAAATAAGGAGCCGGCCACCCTTAGGCAGTTTGCAGCACACAGCGCTATACCCTTCCAGAGTCTGCGACGCCAATGACCCCTAACCGTATATATGCCGTTTGCAAAGAATTACATAAAAAGCTTTTAATTTTATAACTCTGCCAATGATGTGACATTGAACTGTATTGTTGCTTAAAGAAATTCGTTTAATAATATCAGATGTAGGTTTTTGTAAAACAGTTTTTTAAACTACAACGGTTAGTAAAATCAATGTTTTTCCGTGTTTTGATATAAGTAAAGAGATATTGTAAGACTTTCGCAAACCAGCATCTTCTCTAAATGATGTCGAAGTGAGATTTTGTGGGTCTATTCTTTATCTTTGAGTGTTCTAAAGTTTATCAAATCTTCATCTATTTTGTTTGGGTAGAATTGTCTCAAATGATCTTCCAGCGTCGTTGGTTTCATATCGTTTTAAAAAGGCTAGTAGGCAACCGCTAGTATGACAAGGAAAGAATAAATCCCAATTTTAAATAATCAACGCTGAATAGTCTACATTCATTTTTGTTAAACATTAGTTACATGTAGACAAAATTAAGCTAGTTAAATAAGTATTGAAATTAAATAGAACAATTTTTAGTTTGAAAGGCAAATGTTTAAAGGATTAACTCGGGTACAAATCAACAAATCATATATTAGTGTATAAAAGAATTACATTAATTAGATGTTAAATTAAAGTCACGACCTGTTTAAATGAGATCTATTATCGTGGACCCTTGTTGACATCTCATAGACCCCCAATTTATGTTTTCCCTTTCGTAGACCCCTTGGAAGTCTTCGTAGACCCCTGTGGGTCTATAAAGACCTCTTTGGGAATCACTGCATTATAAACATATATATATATATATATATATATATATAAATATATATATATAGTTGTCAAGCTCCTTGGTTTGGTTGTGTCGTGTAGAGCAGTTGGCAGAGAGCCTGGACAACGACAGTCGTTACAATATCTACAAACACGTATTTGTATCGAGGGGTTGGGAAATAAAATATCAATATATAATAAAAATATATAAAATCTATGCAATGTAGAGTTACGAGCCAACGTTTCCAAAAGGAACAAAGTATATTTTGTGCTATTAAACATTGGCTTTGTGGCTTTATCTATGAACTCCAGCTTTTTTAGGTAATAGCGAAACAATTATTACAAAGATTAAACAGAGTGCTTCGTATTTTTCTCAATTTTTAGATTTATAACTTGTCGAAACTGATTCTTAGTGAGCACCCAAGTGTCAAGAAGAACCAGTGTAGACAATATCATGATTTGTAGAATCTATGTTGATACATCGCTTTCTGGCTTGGTTTATCTATGCTAATAATGTCACCTTCAAATATTACAAAGCAAGACACGTTTATTTTTTTTTTTAAAGATTTATTTTAATTATACAATGAAGTTTACAAAAAATAAATTAAAAAAAAAATACATGGAAAAGACATAGACAAGAATTTAAGTTTGGAAAAAAGTTATCCGAAAATTTATAGTTTCTACATTTGTTTTTTTTTTTTAAACGAACTAAGTTTTTCCTTACAGCTTTTTGGGGAAACCATATCTAAGGGAGAGCAGCTAAGCGAATAAACAAAGGAAACGGACTGAGTGGGATTTTATCTCAAAATGAGGGGCAAAGGGACATCACTCTGGTCAAGCTAATTCGTCACGCACAGGATGTCACGTGTCCAATAATGGCGAAGCTCACCATTTTAGTTCCGGCCGAAGACAAATGGACTTCCGTAATGACGTCTGCTTAAGTCTCCTTAAGATTCATCTCTCACCAGCACAGAGATTATAACAAGTTATCCGCAACTTCTGTTCTATTCAGTTCTTCGTTCTAAGTCTAGATCTTATTCCATATGCTAGAAACATTTCTTGTAAGTAACCTTTCTTCCAAACAGCCAAACTCAGCCAGTGAAACAAATGACTTCATACTTCTGTACTTTATTACAATACTTCTTTTCAAGTCATTCCTTCATTGAGGGTGAGCGGACCGCGGATATCAAAAAACGGCTCTAACAGTTTTCCTAGAAATTGAATATAGGATGTATATCACTGAGAAAAGAATTACTAGCTCGTTGGCCACTTGGGGAAAACTCTCGTTTGACCGTTATAGTTTTTTAAAGTAAAATCTATCTATCTATCAATCTATATCTATCTATCTATCTATCTATCTATCTATCTATATATCTATCTATCTATCTATCTATCTATATATATATATATATATATATATATAAATTTGGCTAGAGACTAAACCTAATTCTATGACCTTCTTGAAAGGACTATCGCGTTCGGGAATTTCCGAATGTAAAGTTCTATTGATTCAAGCGTTTAATAAATTAATGTTCAAGAAACTTATGCGCGTTGTTTTCAAAGTCAAGATATAAATTCTAAATACTTAGCATTGGACTATTAAAAGGTGTACTAGATCAATACATTCACTTAACCAGGAGTCTTTCTCGGGCGATGCTTGACATCTTTTCTGGGATACAAGTTTATTAATTTCTTGTTGAAGTTTGTTTGCCACTGACACTATCATCACTGATGACAAATTTTGATCAGATAATCTCGAACGGTGAGATGTTTTTGTAGCTTTCATTATGGAAAAGAACTGTTCACAGTCACAGAGATCAGTGCTTGCAAACATAGCTAGAATTCTGGCTGTGAATTTCCGCAATTTAACGTAACGTTCAGGTAAATAAAAACAGCCACTTCTATCTACTTCGCTTTCAACAAATAATCTAACTGCAATTCTATCAGCTCTAGTTGCACATTACCAGCAGCATTTTCAGAAGCAAATGAAAATAGAGATAAAAACAACGAAAATTCTTGCTCGTTTGAAACGAAGTCACGAAAACGGTCATTGAAAGCATCTACTAACATTTCCAGGTGTAGGACATTTTTACCAAATGTTGCCGCCGTATTTAATTCCTGACACGTTGAGAAGTGAAGCAGGTTTTCTCTTCATATTTCATTTATCCACAGTCGTAACTTTGCTTGAAAGCATTTCACATGATCACATGCAGTGGTGACAATTTTGTCTATACTTTGAAGTTTCAAGTTAAAGTCTTGCAGGTGACTATTGAGATCAACTGCAAATGCCAAATTCTGAACCCATTCGTCAGTTTGAATTTAAGCCACGGGCACGAACAAAATTGATAGAGACTGAAACCAGTCTTATGACATGTAAGAATTGTAATTGCTTTGTGCGTGATGCACTGGTGAATGATGCACTGAAAATTAGCAAATTTAAAATTAGCATTAGTCACTCTTATTTTTGCAAGTAGCCTTGCATCAAAACCATTTCATAATGGTTGGTGCGCCATCCGTTGATAGACTAGCTGGCTTTACCAAAAGTAAATTTTACTGGAATATCCCCTCCTGTTATTTCTCAAAAACATCCTCGCTACAGCCGTTACATCAGTGGACTCATCTAGAGCCAACGAAAAAAATTCAAAATCAACTATTTTGTTCTTTAATTGTTCACGCAAGCTGACTGACATGTCATTTATTCAATCTGCCACATTGTTCCTAGCTTACGCTATATCTTTGAATGCTTTCACCTTTTCTGGACAAATTAATTCGCAAACTGATTCATAAAATCCCCTTTACTAAATGATTTGCTATGGCTTGCAATTAAGTTTCACAAAATTTAGCTGGCTTTCACTGCAGACTCAATCTCGGTGTAACAAAAACTATTTTTCAATTTCCATTAAGAGCTAGTCATCTCTTATTTTCCAGCGTAATAGTTTAACATTATTTTGATAATATTTGAGGTGGCCAAGCGGGCGCATGTAAAGTGGTCGCGGGCCACATGCGGCCCCCGAACGCCGTGTTTGACATGCCTGTTTTAAAAGAAAAACAATCGTTCAATAAGTCGCATAAAGGAGGGGCTTTCTTTTTTTTTTTTTAAACTATTTGAAATGTTTTTCTTGAAATGTTTCCGTAAAAATCTTAAATTTCAATAACTTGATTGGTTGGGTGGCATCGCCTGGCTCGAACAAAAGGCTTGAGTTTGAGTCCCGAAGTATAAACAGAAAATTATCAACTGAGACTTGTGTAGAGCTGAGTTATGTTTACCGAGAGCCTTAAGACAGCTCGGAAACTTTCTCTCTAGCTTTTTACCCCAAAGGTGTACGAAATAGATTGCCCCAGGACGAAAGGAGCATGCTATAGCAGCCTGGAGCAGGGCCGGTCTTAGGTCACTGCAACTTATGCGGTCGCAGTGGGCCCCGCGCTTTCATAGGCCTCCGCGCTAATTCTAGGTATAAATTGCAAAATATATACGAAAAATTCCTGGAAATCTCATGAATTTATTAAAATGTCCTGAAAACTCATAAAAATCTCCTGAAGATAGACAAAATTGTCATTTGTGGGTATCATTCATTGCGGGAAATGCCAATCCTACGTGCGATAAAATAAGAAAAGGCATTGTCAGCTTTCATGTAATAAAATTTCATAATCAGGCGCATTTTCATTTTAATTGGAAGTTCCAATACTTTATTTACTTTTATAGTCACTATCATATAAATATGCCATAGGTTACGAGGTTCTTAAAGTAAAGTTAATTTGATCGCAATTTTGTACTTAAAATCAAAGTCGAATTTTTTTTCTAATACAAAATCCTAATTTTCACTTTTTATCCTTATTCCCACCCACATGGGCGGACTGGAGGTCAAAATCAGCCCTGGCATTTCTTAACAATCCGGCCCATATATTGTATATCAGGATATAAGATAATATAGGATAGATCTACTGCCTTCACGTATCCCTCAACCAATGTCAGGTACCCATTAGAGCAAGGTGGATCCCGAAATTAAAAACCACAGTATCACTTAAATTAGTATTACACTGTAAAAGATTTTTTAATCACCAAGCTCAAAAGTGACTATGTTATAAAACCTCGAATTAGTGAGTGTCATAATGACATCCTTGAGATTCTTTAGGTGCCCTACCGGCCGATTTGGGTACCTGTCCACCGGGCATTTGCCCGAATGCCCATATAGCCAGTCCGCCCCTGCCCACCCAGACTAGGCTCCGCGCAATCAGTTTCGCATAGGGCCCCGCAATTGTTAGGACCGGCCCTGGCCTGGTGGATGCGCTATGCAATAGTTATAATAATAATAATGGCAATATATTGAACTCAGAAGGTCATAACCAAGTCTAATTCAAATGTTTATTTCATACTAATAGTGGTTAAAACTAGACAGTTCATCGTCAGAGATTCGTTCTCACTGTCCAAAGTACTGATTCAATGTGTTCTTACCCTCACAAAAAGCTCATCTTAGTTTATGCCCCTATATGTCTCTGCCTTCTTCGTGCCTTCATTTTCTTGTAAGGTTTCCGAAACGGGGTCCTAGTCTTTCAAAAAGTCCAATTCTTCAATGCCTTTTTTTTGGGGGGGGGGGGGGGCGGGGAGTCGTCTCCCTCACACATTAGGAGTCAGAACTAAGTCAATTATTTCCATACTCGTCACTCCTCCTTTAATCCCATAGTCGGAACCTCTCGGCCTCCGAGACACAACTGATTTGAACCTTGCGATGTATAGCTTTCCATTTCTCCTCCTTATTTCGTCTTTTCTCTCGGCACTCGCTCACCATTTCGAGGTCCTATGTCCGATGCCATCCTTTCCAATTCCTTTGACCTCCCAGCGCTGGTCATCTCATCTGGAGAGACCAGACTTTGACCGGATATTAGGCCCGCAGTTTTGTCACGCGACGTAATAAAGATGGAGTCTCTCAATAACACCGAGCAAAACAAAAAAAATGGGAGGGATATAATTCTCTGCGTGGTACTAATGAGCAGAGGCGTTTCTGTAGATGGGGGTTCACCACCATCAGTCAGACTGCTATAGGAATAACTCAAGAAAAGAAACATTATAGCAATGAGAACTTTGAGAGACGACTTGAAAAGGAAAGAGGGCAAAAGAAAAATAACTCGTGATTCTTTGGGTAGGGGTTGAGGGAGATAACTCTTGATCATTGGGCTAGCGTGGCCAAGATCATTTCTAGGGTGAGAAAAACGGATGAAGGGGAGGGGAGATAATTATTTCACAACGGAAGAAAACGAGAACAGGCGGGATTAGAAAGTGGCAGTGTCACTGCAACGGCTGCCTCATCGGCATCATCAGAAATCAGGGAGGGAATATTTAGTAATTTGGTGTGTGACAAGAGGATTGGGTGGAGTGATGAAGCAGTGGAGATGAGCAATTTGAATTAACAAATCTTCTATTTATATGAGTGTAGTTACAAAAACGCAATCTCTTTCATTTTGTTTTATCACTCTTTTTCTCTCTCTTTCTCTCTCTCTCTCTCTCTCTTTTCCCTCTTTATCTCTTTATCTCTTTCTCTTTTTTTCTCTCTTTCTCTTTCTCTTTTTTTTTCTCTCTTTCTCTTTCTTCTTTTCTTTCTAGACCGACAAATGCATAGCCTTCGACAATAAATTCAGACGAACTCCTATATCACGGCCACATTCTTATATGCATTGAGGATCTTGGACGCTGGCCGCAGATCTTAAGAAGAGGATCCTAGCAATAGAACTAAGATGCTACTTAAAGATCTTAGGTGTCACAAAGACCGCATCACCAAAGAAGAGATAAAAAATCAGGATTAATACAGCC